CCTCCCTGCACCCCTGCCTGACCACCCCCCTCCCTGACCACCTGCCTCCCTGCACCCCTGCCTGACTACCCCCCTCATGCACCCCTGCCTGCCCAGCCCCTGCCCCCCAGACCCCTGCTCAGTCCCTGGCAGAGGATTGGAAAGGCATCCAGGCTCTTCCATGGACCTCTGCCCTGCTGGCTCGCGCTGGCCACTCTCTGCCCTGGCCACAGCCTGTCCGCCCTCCTTATTTCCTGCAGTGACTGCCAACCCTGGGCCACCCAGTGTCCTTCTTGCCTGTCCTCTCCTTTCTTGTCCTGTGCTAAGAGTCCCATCTCCCTCAGCACGACATTGAACAGGAGGACCCCAGGGGGCGCACCCCACTGGAGCTGGCGGTGTCCCTGGGGAACCTGGAGTCTGTGAGAGTCCTCCTTCGACACAATGCCAACGTGGGCAAAGAGAGCTGCCAGGGCTGGGCAGGTAGGCACACCCTGAGCTCCCCGAGGCCGGCAGCAGGCTTGGTGGGTGGGAGTAAGCAGCCAGGCCTCGGGCCATCGAGACAGGTCCCTCAGCAGCCCGGTGCCCTCAGTCCTGCAGGAGGCGGTCAGCACCGGGGACCCTGAGCTGGTGCAGCTGGTGCTGCAGTACCGAGACTACCAGAGGGCCATGCAGAGGCTGGCCGGCATCCCGGAACTGCTGGACAAGCTCCGTCAGGTACAGTGGCACGAGGGAGGCCGGCCGTGGGGACCCCTGGTCAGCCATGCCAACCTGGCCCCAAAAGGCCACCCACGAGGTCTGGCTCTCCTGGCCCAGTCCAAGGGAAAGGCCCTCGTGGATGAGGCTGGGGCAGTTGGGTCCTCTGAGAGGAGACTTGGCCAGCACTGAAGTCCCCCAGCCCCAGAATTCCCAGGGGAGCTCCTGGCCACGCGCCTCCTGGGGAGAGCAGCTTTCCCAGAAAGAGGACCCACCCGACTAGGGGTGTGGCTGGGCCCCAGGAGTTGCTGTCCACCCTTCTCAAAGCACACGGGGGCCCCCCGGGGAGCCCACATGCACCCCTTGCCCCAGCCGTTGTACCCCTCGATAGATGAGGACTGTGGGACCTGGAGGGCACTTGGGCAAAACGCCGTCGGGTAGACCTTTAGGGCCCGGGGCTGCCTCCGCGGGCAGGGCGGTGGGCAGGGTTGCAGGGGGGTAGGGTGTAGCTGGCCCCCCAGGAGGGCTGCAGACCCCGGGCTCCCGGCCGCGCCCCTTCCCTGACGGGCCTCTGGTCTCTCAGGCCCCCGATTTCTACGTGGAGATGAAGTGGGAGTTCACCAGCTGGGGTGAGCGTGGCCCTGGCTCCCGCGGTCTGCAGGGTGGCATCTGCGGGGCGGTGCCGGCGGCAGACCCGTGACCGCCGCGCCCCCCCAGTGCCCCTCGTGTCCAAGATGTGCCCGAGTGACGTGTACCGGGTGTGGAAGCGGGGCGAGAGCCTGCGGGTGGACACCAGCCTCCTGGGCTTTGAGCACATGACCTGGCAGCGTGGCCGGCGGAGCTTCATCTTCAAGGGCCAGGGTGAGCGGGGCAGCGGCCTCCGGCCTCCCTCTGGGCAGGAGGTGGGGTGGGGGGGAAGCCCAGGCGAGGCCGCAGCCACTGCCCCTGAGGCCGAGGACACCTTGGCGGCCCGACCCGCTGCCTGGGCCAGCACCCACTGTGCCTTCCACCCCTGGCCGGCAGAGGAGGGCGCCCTGGTGATGGAGGTGGACCACGACCGGCAGGTGGTGCACACCGAGACGCTGGGGCTCGCCCTGCACGAGCCGGAAGCGCTGCTGGCCGCCCTGCGGCCCAGCGAGGAGCACGTGGCCAGCCGCCTCACCTCCCCCATCGTCTCCACCCACCTGGACACCCGCAATGTCGCCTTCGAGAGGTCAGTGGGGGCCTGGCCTGAGGCCTTGAGGCTCCTCCTGTTCAGGCCGATGGGGGCCCAGCCGCGGGCGGCATCTCAGCAGGACCCTGGCTGGGGGGCACCCCTGCGGAACCCCGGGCCTCCGCGCCTGCTGGTGCGGCAGCGTCTCCCCGGGGAGGGGCAGGGCCAGGGTGTCCCGTTTCTTGACTTGTGACCCCACATGTTGGCCCATAGAAACAGGGTTTAGGCTGCAGTTCAGGGCAGCCCTGCTCCAGTGTGGGCTTCTCAGAGGCTGTGGGCACCCTCGGGGGTGCCCTGGGAGCCGACCTGAGGCGGCGGCGCTGGTTCTCAGACAACACGCCCAGCCCCAGTCATGGACGCGGGGAGCCCGGGACCCAGCTTGCGCTGAGGTGTCCTCAGCTTGCCGTAGGGGTCAGCCGTGTCCAGAGCAGCCCCAGGCTGGCAGCCCTCCGGCCACGGTAGAACATGCCCATCCCCCCGACGCCCCGTTACTCCCTCCCCTCCCGACGCAGCTGCTAATGCGCTTTCTGCCTCTAGCTCCCTCGGACTTGCGTGAGCCTCCTGCCTGCCCACGGCGCGGCCTGGCGAGGCTGGACCCTGCTGCACAGCCGCGCGTCCACCAGGGGGCACCCGCGCCCGCCCCTCGCTCCTTTGCGCAGTGTCGCGGTAACCTCGGTGACAGCGTCTTGGGGCGGCTGTGGCGGAAGTGGACCGGCCGCCTGCGGCCCCTGGGGCCGGGCTACCTGAAGCCTCCCAGGCCGGGCAGCAGCGAGCCCGCGGCGTCTTGTGTGCTCACTGGCAGAGCTTGGGGTTCAGCTTCCCCACATCCGGACACCAGCGCCTCTGGGGGCTCACTCGGGCTTCTATTTTTGACGATGGCCATCGAGGGGGTGCGGATGCGCCCCGCTGCTGGGTTTGCGTTTCCCGGATGACCGGACAGCCTCTCTGCCCTTTGCTCAGCGGCCGCGTGTGTCTTCTTTGAAGGGATGTCTGGCGGTTGACAAAGTTGGGGTGCCTTTATTCCTGAGTTGGGACAGTTCTTTATACTGTTTCCATGTAAGCCCCTTCCAGATCTGTGGCTTGCAAACACTTTCTCGCACGGTGTGGGTTAGCTCTTTCCTGATGGCAAAAGCTTTTAGTTTCTATGAAGAACAATTTGCCTTTTGCTGCTCATACTTTGTGTGTGTGTGTAAAAGAGCTGGGTGTAGGCTAGAATTGGGGTGTGAGAGGACTCACCAGAACAGAGTGGGGAGCAGAACAGGCGGATGTACTGAAACCCACTGCTGGGGGGGCAGCGGGGAGACAGGAGGGGTCTGCTGCGCCCTGGGGTCCCTCCCTGGCCGGGGATTGAACTCAGGCCGCAGCAATGATAGTGCTGAGACTCAACCCCTAAGCCACAGGGAGGCCCGGTTCATACTTTTATGATATGACTGTCATATTTAATACTACTTTGCTAAATCCAAGGTCAAGAGCAGGGTTTTGTGTTTTGTTTGCTTTTTTAAAGCTGTGTTTATTTATGCACACAGAACTGGGGTACAGGTCAGAGATGCAGGGGCAGTGACAGGACTCACCAGAGACAGAGTGGGGAGCAGAATAGGCAGATGGACGAAGTGCACTGCTGAGGGGAGCAGTGGGGAGACGGGAGAGGTCTGCTGGGCCCTGTGGGCCACCTCAGGTCCCGGGATTGAACTCGCCTGAAGCGGCTGCAGCCAGCTTGCGTGCTGCGTCCTGACCATTTGCGCCACCAGGGGGTCCCCAAGGTCGATTACTTTTTTTTTTTTTTTTAAGATTTATTTATTTATGTACAGAAGACTGGGGTACAGAGACAGAGTGGGGATCCGAACAGGCAGATGGACTGAAGCCCACTGCTGAGGGGAGCAGTAGTGAGACAGGAGGGGTCTGCTGTGCCCTGAGGGTCCCTCCCTGGCTGGGGATGGAACTCGTGCTGCAGGGGCTGTGATGGCCTCGTAGTGCTGCCTCTAACCCATGCGCCACCAGGGAGGGCCCAGGAGTAGTTTCCCTTGGAAAGTCTCATGATTTTAGCACCCACGTGTCGGTCTGTCCCATTCGGAGACAGTGTTTGCGCAGGAGGGGACAGAGCTCCAGCTGCCGTGGCCGGAGCCCAGCACCGTTCATGGAGAAGCGGCGCTCTGCCCGCCGAGTGGCCTCGGCCCTTGTGGCCGGCCAGCTGGCCGCAGGGGTGTGGGCTTATTTTTGGGCTCAGGTCGATCCCATTGATCTGTGTTCTGTGTCGGTGCCAGCTGGGTTCTTCTTTCTCAGGATCACTGCGGTCCCCTTGTGATTTCGTAGAAAACCCAGATTCAGCTGATCGGTTTCCACAAAGAAGTCAGGTGGGGGCTGCACTGAACCTCCATCAGCTGGGCCGGGCGTCGGGGGCCCGTCAGGAAGGCTGTGTGCTCAGCGTGTGAGGTACAAGCTTTTCAGTTGTATTCTCGGTGTTATTTGTGCTGGTATTACAAATAGGATTGCTTTCTTTTTTTTTGTAATATTTACTATGCACACAAGAACTGGGGTACAGGCCAGAGGTGCAGGGGTGAAAGGATTCCCCAGAGACAGAGGGGAGCACAGCAGGTGGATCCAGTGAAGCCCACGGCAGAGACAGGAGGGGTCTGCCGCGCCTGGGGTCCCTCCCTGGCCGGGGATCGAACTCGTGCTGCAGGGCTGCGGCAGCTTCACGGTGCCCGCTCCAACCTGTCGGGCCGCCAGGGAGGGCCCTGACTGCTGTGATTTCTATTAATGTTGGTTGGATTCACTGGGAAAACCCTCTGGGGCTGGGTATTTGTGTTTTTTTTAATTCCTAATTTGGTCTCTATTGGTTACAGGTCTGTTCAAATTATCGGCTTCTTCCTGAGTTTGTTTCGGTAGTTTGTCCCTCTGGGATTTTTCCATTTTCATCTGATAATCTGATTTGCTGTGGTACGGTCCTTCCTCACGCTCCGTTGTAATCCTTCTCTTCCTTCCCCTTGTGTGGTAACAGTAATGATACCTCCTCTTCATTTTTGACTCTAGTAATTTGAACCTTCTCTTTTCTGTCTCAGCCTATCCGAGGCTGATTTGTTCCCACAGAACCAGCTTTCTTGTCATTGTCTTTCTCTCCTTTATTTCATTAATTTCCAGTCTGATGTTCACCGTTTCCTTCCTTCTGCTTGCGGGGGCTTTAGTGTGTTCTTCTCCGAGTGGCTTCACTTGGAAGCTTCAGACTGGCTTGAGGTATTTTCCTTACTACGGGTCACTTAGGCCTGTGAAATTCCCTCCGCGCTGCTTTACGTGTTGACCAGTCTCGGCCTGGTGGCACATTCTGACGCCGTACGTGTGGGCACAGTGCCCGCAGTAGGCCACAAGCACCTCGGCACTGTCCGCTCTGTCGGTGGCTGGGTATTTAGGAGAGAGGTGGCCTTCGCAGTTTGCGAGTTCCCAAACCCTTTTTCTGGTACTGAGTGATCATTTCGTCCCTTGCCTGCCGCCGTCTTCCCCTTCCCCGGGCCTGGGGTTTCCCTGACGGCCTAGAGCAGTCTGTCTGGACGCGCAGGCCGCGGTGGGGGGTCGCCCAGGGCACTGTAGGCCCGAGAGCCGCTTCGGCCGACGGCCGGTTCTCGCCCCTCTTCTCGCCCTCCTGGGGGTCTGCGTCTTCTCTCCGCTACTGGAAAGCGGAATGTGGACGTTTCCAAGTATCGGATCAGACCTACTTTTGTTGTTAACCTTTTTTTTTTAAAGATTTATTTATTTGTGCATACAGAACTGGGGTACAGGCCAGAGGCTCAGGGGCGGCGAGAGGCTTCACCAGAGACAGAGCGGGGAGCAGAACAGGCAGATCGACGAAGTCCACTGCTGAGGGAGCAGCGGGCGGGCCAGGAGAGGTCTGCCGTGCCATGGGGTCACCTCCGGGGCAGGCGGGGATCGAACTCATGTGGAAGTGGCTTTAGCTTCTCAGTGCTGTGCTTCAACCCGCTGCGCCACCAGGGAGGGCCCTGTTGTTAACCTTTTATTGTGGAAACTGCTCAGCGTGAAGGAAGGGAGCACAGGTAGACGCCCGGCCAGCCAGCTCCGCAGCGGCCACGTCTTCCCCTCGCCGGCCCTGCCGCATCCTTCTTCCGGCTTTTTCCCTGGCCTAAAGCCGACGCCCCGTCATCTGCACGGCCGATGCACTTGAACAGACCAGGGCGTCGATAAACTCAGGCCCAGCCGGCAGTCAAGGGCCGTTCCTCAGGCTCGCCGTGTCGGGCTGCGCCGGCTCCCGCCTGGGCTGCCGTCCGCGGGGAGGGCCGCCGGAGGGTGTCTGGGCGGGCGGCTCCGGCCAGGGTCTCACCGGGGCCTCTTTGATCTGTTTCAGGAACAAATGTGGTATCTGGGGCTGGCGGTCTGAGAAGATGGAAACCGTTAGCGGCTACGAGGCCAAGGCAGGAGAGGCTAGTGGTGGGGGTGGGGGAAGGAGCCGAGGCCCAGGAACTCCACCCTCCTCGCCCGCCCCCCGAGACACAGAGCCTGTGAGCTCTAGAATCACCGCAGCCCCGGGGCCCCGGGAGCCCGCCCGAGCACCCGGCCCCTGCTGAGCGCTAGGGGTCACCCACAGCATGACTCCCCGCCAGGTACCGAGATGACGAGCAGCAGCACCCCTCAGGTGACCCCCTGGGCTCAGACCCCCGCCACCCTGGGGAAAGCCTCGCCTGCCAGGGCGCAGGAGACGTGGGCCCGTGCCAGAGAGGCTGGTGGGCAGCAGGCCCAGCCCCCGCTCCCTGTGTCCCCGCTCTCCAGGTGTACAGTGCCACCAACGTGGAGCTGGTGACACGCACGCGCACAGAGCACCTCTCTGATCAGGACAAGTCGAGGAGCAAAGGTAAACCCAGGTGCGCCCGCCTGCTGCCCGTTACCTCGTCTGGGGTCGGGCCGAGAGTCCCTGGCCGGGCCCCGGAGGCCCGGGCGGGAGGCGGTGGGGGCTGGGGCAGTCTGCAGGCCCCTCACCGCCCGCCGCCTCTCCTCAGGGGGAAAGACCCCGTTCCAGTCCTTCCTTGGGATGGCTCAGCAGCACTCCTCCCACAGCGGGGTAAGCGGGGTGGCTGGGGGGGGCCGCGCCGGGCACCCCGCCCTGCGCGCTAAGCCCCGCCCTGCGGCCCCCAGGCCCCCGCGCAGCAGGCCGCCAGCCCCACCAACCCCACGGCCATCTCCCCCGACGAGTACTTCGACCCCAACTTCAGCCTGGAGTCCCGGAACATCGGCCGCCCCATCGAGATGTCCAGTAAAGTGCAGAGGTAAGTTCTGGGGGGCAGCTGGGGACTCTCCCAGGGATGGGGGACCCGCTCACCCAGCAGATCGCTCTGGACGCCACTCCCGGGACGGGACCTGTGGTCCTCAGCTGAGCACCGGGCCTGGCCGCCCTCCCAGGCGGCACCACAGCTCGTGGTTTCTAGCAGACCGAAGGGGTACCCGCGGGGGGCTGGGTGGCAGTGGGCAGGACCCCACCCCCCGAGTCTGGTCTCCTCCCGGGTCACACTGGGCGCCTGCTCAGAGGGCCTGGTGAGTGGCTCAGGGCTTCCGGTGGGTGCACGTGGGACGGAGCCACCAGGGCGGGAGCTGGGGTTCGGAGCGGCACCCCGCCGCTCTGGACACGGAGGACGGCAGGGCGGAGGTGCCGGCTCGGCTCGCAGTGGGCTGCGGGGAGGCCCCGGCTGAGGCCGGCCCAAACCAGCCTGGCCACGTGCGGGGCAGCTCGGGTGGCACCCCGGAACAGAGCTCCGGGTACAGAGCCCCGCCGAGCAGAGGGCCTCACCCGCTGGTGACCTCGGGGCAGGGGTCCGGCCGGGGGAGGCCTGCGCAGCAGCGGCGTCCGGCTGGCTGGGCCTGGGCAGAGCCCCACCGGGCGCCCTTCACCACACGCTGGGGGGCCCGGCAGGTTCAAGGCGACGCTGTGGCTGAGCGAGGAGCACCCGCTGTCACTGGGCGACCAGGTGACGCCCATCATCGACCTGATGGCCATCAGCAACGCCCACTTCGCCAAGCTGCGGGACTTCATCACCCTGCGCCTCCCGCCCGGCTTCCCGGTCAAGATCGGTGAGAGGCCGGCCGGGGGGCGCAGGCAGCCGGGGTGGGCGCGGGGCGCCGCTGGGCGCTGAGGCGCGGTCTCCTCTCAGAGATCCCCCTTTTCCATGTGCTCAACGCCCGCATCACCTTCGGCAACCTGTGCGGCTGTGACGAGCCCCTGAGCTCGGTGTGGGTGCCGGGCCCCGGCTCTGCCGGCACAGCCGCCGGGGGGAGCCCCTTCCCGTGCGAGGTGGACCCCGCGGTGTTCGAGGTGCCCGAGGGGTACAGCGTGCTGGGAGCGGAGCGCAGCGAGCCCCTTCGGGACGAGGACGACGACCTGCTGCAGTTTGCCATCCAGCAGAGCCTGCTGGAGGCGGGCACCGAGGCCGAGCAGGTGGGTGCCGGGCGGGAGCCGGCCTGCGCCCTCCCCCTCCGACGGCGGGG